GTGACCCCAGACAAGTCACTTACCTCTCTATTTATATCAGTTTCCTCATCTGAAAAATGAAGGGCTGGACTAAGAGTCCTTTCCAAATCTATATCTATGATCTTAGAGATGTTCTTTCCTGCTAAACAGGTACTTAAAATAAAACAGAAGCATGGAGAGGTAGCAGAGGACCATGGAGAGACAGCCAGACTCAGAGTAAACAGACCCAGGTTCGAATCCTCCCTCTGATACAACCTCTGTGACCAGGAAGAAGTTCCTGAAGGTTAGAGAGATTTACTTTTCTCATCTATAAAATGGGGACAATAATACCTGTAGTATTTATCTCCCAGGGTTGATGTAAAATCTAAAGAGGTAATGAGATGCCATCAGGTCCAACCTCTTTTTTTTTGTTGTTTTTAGAAATTGGGGTTAAGTGACTTGCCCAGGGTCACACAGCTAGTGAGTGTCAAGTGTTTAGTCTGAGGCCGGATTTGAACTCAGGTCCTCCTTATTTCAAGGCCAGTGCTCTATCCACTGAGCCACCTAGCTGCCCCCCCAACCTCTTATTTATAGGTAAGGAAACTGAGGCCCAAAGAGATGAAGTGATTGGTGCCAGGTCACCCAGGTAGTAAACAGTAGAACCAGGATTTGAACCCAGGACCTCTGATCAAAATCTGTTCCTCTTTCTACTGTTCCAAGCGGCCTCCATGATGTTTTGAAAATTGCATGAATGATTTATTTTTGTGTGATTCATTCATATAGTTTCTGTTTGTTTGCATAATTAATGCCGTGCTTTGTAAATCTTCAAGCTCCATGTAAATGTCAGCTCTTATTATGGTGAAGCCCTGCCCTTCCTCTGGGTGCTGCTGTGATGCTCACAACCAGGGATGCCTGGGGTTTGGGGCACCGACTCAGGCAATGCCAAACAGCCACCTCTTCATCCCCAAACAGCACCTCTTTTCACATTGGAGCCCTGTGATTTCATTACCTTCAGGAATTCCTGGAGTGTAATATCCCTTCACCAAAGTAGAGCTTATGCTCTCTGAGTTGCCCGAAGGCAACAAGAGCTTAAGTGACTCACCCAGGAAGATGCCCAGAGTCAAGACTCGAACCCATGTCTTTTTGACCGCCAAATTGGCTTTTCATGCTCTATTCACTATGCCAAGCTGTCTCTCTCAGCACATGGTGATGAAGAGAATCAAACCATATAAAATATCTTATAAATCTAAAAACAATATGTACAAATGTCAGATATTTATCACGAACAAATGATGAGGATCACAAGAATTCCCAGTAGAATCAAAGCCGCCTGTCCTGGCATCACTCGACTCCCTCCCCATCCCCACCCAAATCAAAGGGTAGCCCCAGGGGCCTTGAAGGCTACCCAAGCAGCCCAGACTCCAAAGAAAGGGTGGGGTTTGGGAGGTCCCCTGCAGCTGAACTGCCCAGGAGTGATAGCTCCCCTCCCCATGCTCTACAAAAAAAATGAGGCCAAAGGTCAAGCATCCCCTGGGAGAAGACCTCCTTGTTCTCCAGGAAGAGACAAGTCCACTCAGGCCAGCATCCTCTTTCCTCCAGGTAAGGAAGGGGCAGGCAGCCAGGAAGAAAGGCAAGCAGAAACAAAGCTTTCATTCCTTCACACTAAGCCTGGTTTAACTCCTTACTGGCTCAGAGTCATCAAGCTGACCCCAGGGGCTCCTCAGAAAGGATGGCTCCTTCCACAAATCCACCCACCAAGAGAATGATCTCCAAGACCTTCTGCTACATTCAGGAAGAGTCTATACCAGGATTCTAGTACTCAAATTTTGAAGGCTCTCTTCCAAAAAAACCCAGTTCCATCCTTGATGGTTTCTCCTTCCCCAGCTCCAACAAGCTTGGCACCAATCCACCTCTTCCTACTCCCTGACATATGGTCAAAAAAGAAATCTAGATGTCCCTAATTTATCTAGCCCAGACCATCAGTCACCAAGGAGAACAAATCTGGGAAATTCTAGGGCAGGAAAGTCTCAAAGCAAATAGAATCCCATCGTGTGTCTCCCATTCCAAGAGTAGGAGCAGAAGTGAGGGGAATGTCCTGGCTTGTATTGTGCTCAGACCTAAATCCCACTGGAAACAGTAGAGAGAGGGTCTGGAGTGCCCCCAACCATTGACCATTTGGTATTCTAGGTGAAAAGAGGCCCTGGGGAGCTTTGGAAATGTCTTGAAGAAGGAGGTGAAATCATCTTTGCTTGAGGGAGATCTAATGAGAAAAGATATCATACCAAAATTCTGAATGAGACTAAGAGTCTACTAAGGTCCAGATAAAGGCCTAGAATCTAGACCTTGTGATGTTCAAAGAAGATGGAACCTGAATTCCATTTACTAACTCTATGACCTTGGGCAAATCATTTCACTTCTTGGAAACTCAAGCTTTCTCCTTTGCAAAATGGTGGTGTTGGGAGGTGGTGGGGAGGGTGTTGACCTAAATGACTTTTAAGCCTCCTGGGGTCAAATCCCACCTCTGACATTTGCTAGCTGTGTGACCACAGGCTAGACAGTGAACTTCCCTGAGATGGAATTTCATCTGAAATGGGGATCACACTGCTTGTAATACCCACCCCACAGGGCTGCTGAGGCTCAACTGAGGGAGGGTCACATGGACCTTTGCTACCTTTAAAGTTCTATGTGAATGAACATTATCATTCTCACCATCTGTCCTCTACTCTTTTGAGTTGTGGTGCAGGAGAAGACTTTTGAGAGTCCCTTGGACAGCAAGGAGGTCAAATTTGCCAATGTTTAAAGAAATTAATTCAGCCTATTCACTGGAAGGTCAAATACTGAAGCTGAAGCTTAAATACTTTGGCCACAATGAGAAGATGGAACTCACTGGAAAAGACCCTGATGTTGGGAAAGATTGAAGGCAAAAGGAAAAGGGGATGGCAGAGGGTGAAATGGATAGAGAGTGCCATGGAAGAGATGAACATGAGCTTGAACAGACTCTGGGAGATGGTGGAGGATAGAAGGGTCTGGAATGCTACGGTCCAGAAGATCTGAATTCAAATCCAGCCTCAGAGGTGTTCTAGCTGTATGACCTTGGACAAGTCACTTAACTCCTATTTGCCTCAGTTCCTCATCTGTAAAAATGGGGATGCAGTGGAGATGGAAATGGCAAACCACTCAAGTGTCTTTGCCAAGAAAACCCCATGGTGAAGGGTCAGACACAACAGAACAATTGAACATCAACAATGTTCTACCCTCAACAGCTCTTGGTAACAGGTCCCTCCATGAAAGCGAGCTTCCAAGAGCCTGAGCACCCCAGACCGAAGAGCCACAGACACAGCCCCCTTCTCAACTTAATTACAACAACTATTCACAACACTAGGGATGCAAGGAAGGAAAATAACTGACCCTGCTGGCAAAGAAGGAGTCACAACACGCTTGGGGCAGGGGGATACCCACACACCGATAAGTAGGATATAAGCTGGATATGATGACGTCCATAGGAAGGGCAGGCGGTGGCATGAGAGACTAAGGAAGGGGGAGAAATCCCATCTAGGTGTGCTGTTTAGCTCAGGGTTGTACAAAGAGGGTGGCTCCAGACTTGGATGTTGCAGGAAAGATGGCAGAGAGAGGAGAGAATCTGTTCAAGAGAGGAGGTAATGTGAGCCCCTCACAGAGACAGGAGGGGGCGAAGTAAGACTCAAAATGGGTGCCTACTCTGAGAATGGCCAGCGCCTTCCTTGGCAGAGCCAGCAGGCGGTGGAGAAGTGCCCTCCACAGACGGGGATTAACAAATGATCCCAAATTTCTGGTGGCCGAGGGCATTGCCTTGGATGCTGAGAAGGGACGTGCCCAGGCTCACAGAGCCGGCTTGTGTCATAGCTAGTCCTTAAAGCTGGCCCATTCTGACTCCAAGGCCCCCCTCTCTCCACTGAGCTACGACCTTTAAGTGCCAGCTGGGATTATTTCTGCCATGTGTATGACTCAGTTATTTACGGTGTTTTCCTCCTGACCTTGTAAGTGCCCCCAGTGACCTCTGTCCTTTTAAAGTTCTGGTCACAGTCATGCAGTACTTATTGACTGATGGACAGACTCCATTCTATTCCATTTAGCCCAGGCTAAATTCAGAAGATGCCCTGCTAACTGTCCTTTGCTCATTCTATCTTAGAGAATCCTATAACAAAATAAGGTAGGTGGCATGGTGGATGGAGCATGGGGCCTGAAGTCAGGAAGGCTTCCTGAATTTAAATCTAGCTTCAGACACTTACTAGCTGTATGACCTTGGGCAAATCATTTAACCTTGTTTGCCTCAGTTTCCTACTCTATAAAATGAGCTGGAAAAGGCAAACCACCCCGCAATCTTTGCCAAGAAAACCCCAAATGGGATCACAAAGAGCCAGACATGACTGAAAAACAAAGTAATCACTCTACAATTATATAACCAAAGTCAAGGCCTAAGACAAATTCCTGAGATTTTCTAATGGAGTATTTTTGGAAAGCACTTTCTTTTCATATGGAGAATTCCTCACTAATTTCTCTTCTGAATCTGTCTTAAAACATAAACATAAATAGAATCAAAGAACACAGGTGCATAGATGTGAAGCTGAAAGAGACCTCAGAAGCAATCCAATCCAACCTTCATTTGATAAATGGAAAAACTAAGGCTCAGGGGCTTGCCCAAGGTCACACAAATAGTAATGAACAAAAACTAGGACTTAGAAGTTATAGAGAAGGAAACTGAAATCCCAAGAGGAGAGGCTTGTCCAAGCTCCCATGGCTCTCTTTGTGGAAGAGCTAGGATTTGATCCCACATCTGATAATCACTGGCAAGTACACCCATAGGGTCTCGAAAGAGACAACCCAGCATGTCAGGCCGGAAGTCATCTGTCTCCACCAGTACAAAGTGCTTGCCACCCTGGATGGCTTTAAAAGAGTTGGGTGAAGTGAACCGAGTCTAAACTGGAGATGAGGACAAAGAGGAAGAAGAAACACCAACATGATCATGGTCAGGATCCCAAGTACAGTACATTTAATAACCTTACCGCAGATGTGAGACGGACAAGGAGTTCATCACTGGTTTCTTCTGTGTCTTCAATTTTCTGATGGGGCCTGAAAAATAAACAGCTAATTACTTTCAGGGTTTTTTTTTTTCAGCTTGGCTGTATTATCCATATCATGCAGAAATCAGGGGCAAATAGCAACCTTTTACCAAGCCATCACAAATCCCAGATGGAATCACAAAAACACTTGGGTGACTCAAATCCCACATTGGCCCAACCATTCTCCTCAAATCAATAAACACGCTGCCAAATTCAATTAATCACAGGCATGAGAATTGTTTTCCAAATCTCACCCAAGGATGACACTGACAGATAAGGTTTGGGCCCAGGTGGCAGAATTAGGAACAATGGGTGGGAGTGGCTCAGAGGCAAACTTTAGCTGAGGGTAAATGGAGAGATACTCTTCTTGGGTAGGTTTCAGAGGGTATCGTTGGTCAGGTACAAGTTAGAACAGGCAGCATCCCAGCTTCCTTCCAACTCAAATTCTGTGATGAGGAAAAATTTCCTGACAATTGAGGCAATCCCAGAATGGAATGGGCTGCCTCTGGGGGCAATGGGTTCTCCCTCAATGAAGGGCTCCCCTAAAAGGCTGAATGATTATTTATAGGATTAATTGCTGACAGAATTCCTCTTCAGGTATTGGTTGGACTAGTGGGCCTCAGAGCTTTTTTTTTTTTAAATTCTGTGATAAGGAAAAAAACAAATTCCTAGTGATCAATAGGGTCCAAGAATGGAATGGACTACCATGGGAAAGAGTAGATTCCACATCTTTGGAGGCCTTTCATCAGAGGCTGGATAGTCACTTGACAAACACTGGCATAGAGGGGATTCTTGTCCAGGTACAAGATAGATAAGACAGGCTCTGAGGATGACGGGCCCTTCCAACTTACACAGTCTATGATCCTCCACACAAAAGACTTCAATACAGACACCCCTGACACTACAAAACAAGATGGCACACTTTTAAGAGGATGAGCGGGTTGGGAGGGTCCTCAGCAGCCACCCATTCGCCAAAGGCATCCCCACTATTTCATACCTGACAAGGGGTCAGCCAGTTGGAGGGGAACCTCTCGGGGCAGCTCATTCTATGTTGAGACAATTCTAATTGTTAGGAATTTTTCCCAACTATTCAGTCTCTGTAACTTCCCTCTGTGGCTCCAGGGCCCAAGAGAACGAGCTCATCTCTCTTCTACATGATGGCCATTCCCACACTTGAAGATAGCTCATCTCCCCAGAACAGTCTCTCTGCCAATGTTCATATGACATGGATTCAAGGCCCTTCATTCTCTTGGTTAATACCCTCGGGACATCTCTAGCTCATCAATTGGGGATAGAATTTGTCACTTGTGCTAAATCAAGCAAAGAGACCATTTGGATGATCGATGGAGATGTCTGTCATAAATCTTAGGGCTTGAGCATTTAAAATGTCTTTCTTAAGCATCCACCATATGTTTAGCCCAGTTCTCAGACCTCTGACATAGAAGAGCATATGGCCCTGTCCTACAAGAGCCTTCATCCTCACTGGTGATAACAGCTGGTGATTACAGAGTTCCTTAAGGTTTGCAAAACACTTCACATAATTATCTCATTGGATCCTCACAACTGTGGGAGGCAGGTGCTATTGTTATGTCCATTGTACAGATAAGAAAACTGACACTGAGAAAGCTTAAATTATTGGCCCAGGGTCATGCATCTAATAAGTGTGGGAAGAGGCAGCAGGGAAGGCTTCTAGGGAGAAGTGCCTCTCCATGCGGAGGGCTAGAGAAGAGACAAGAGAGGATGTGAGGCAGAGGAAAGAACTTGACCCAGAGACCCTTGATCTCAACAAGTACTGACTGAGCTGTTGTGTGCAACCACGACAGACCCATTAAGGGTCACAGGAACCCAGATCCAGAGCCAGAATGGACCTCAGAGCCGATCCAACTCCCTCATCTTGTGGCAGAACTGCAGCCCAGAGAAGGTCACATAGAGGATCTGAGACCTGGAGTTTGTCTGGACCCTGGAAGACAGCAAATCCAACTCTCCCATTTCACAGATGGGGAGACTGAGGTACAAAGGTTCTGTGACTTGTCCAAGATCCCAGAGAAGATCATGGATCTTGAGCTGTAAGACCTCAGAGGACATCTACTTCTTCATTGGATTAGGAAACTGAGGCTCACAGAGTTGGAATGGCGTGCATAGTCACCCACGTAATCGGGAAAGCTTTTGCTATGGTTAAGGAAGCCTAAAGTTTGGGTAGGACCAAATGCCCGATGCATATGAGCATTCTCAAGAACCAAGGAATGGAGTCTGCAAGTGATCTCATAAAAAGCAATAGGGAATCACTGTGGGTTTCTAAATAAGCAAGTGACATAGGAGAGAATAGCATTTAAGGGGGAAAAGTCACCCTCTATTTCAGGTTGTAAGGAAATCCTGAGGTTCCTAAACATGGGGAAGGGATGAAGAAAGGGAGGGAGAAAAGAGAAGAGGAAGGGAGGAGGAAGGGAGAAAGAGGGAGGGAGGGAGAGAGAGGGAGAGGGAGAGGGAGAGGGAGAGGGAGAGGGAGAGGGAGAGGGAGAGGGAGAGGGAGAGATGCCTCTTTAGATTGGAAAACTTATTTTCAAATTATTTTAGCTAGTCAGAGGAAGACTTTGGCCACAGACACTCACATGGATAATGAAAATCACTGGCAACTCTGATTCCAATAAGCAATCCCTTTAAATACAAGCTGTGGAGCCAGGAGGATTCATGGTAATTACACCCCTAAGAAAGCAACTCCAAGATCAGAGCCCCATGATCGATTTCCATTCATAGCTAAGCACAATAAGCCAACTCCCGATTTATCCACAGAGGGCAAAGGGCTTCTCCCTAGACTCAGAAACCCTCTAATAGGAACATCTCCAGGAATTAAAAATGAAAAGCCAGTTGATCAATTCTGGCTTTAGTTTCTTGAAATTGTATTAAAGTCATTTTTTCTTTTAAATTACACCCTTTCCACTGGAGTTGCTAACTCCAAATCATGGATTTTACAAGATTTCCTAACATACAGGTACAAACCAGCACTGCTGGCTTCCAATGCGTAATTTAATTACTCACACAGTCGAGGGTTTGGAAGAGTAATTGACAGGCTGTCTGATAAAAACAGCAGCGAGAACAAAGGCCTTAGGATTTTTCATGCTGGCACTAAACTTCAGAAAAGATATCAGACTTCTGCAAAACAGAACAATCTCCAAGAGAGTAATTTGTGGGACCCTGGTGGTATCCACGAAACGCTCCCTGATATTTAACCAAGCTTTTCTGAGCTGGGAATGATGTCCTGCTGGCATCGATTGCTCCGCAGGACTCGGGACTCGAAGGAAAACCATCATAATTATATCTGATGTTTGTCGAGCGCTTTGAAAGTTTGCAAAGCAAACCATCTCATTTAAGCCTAACAATCCTGCCAGGGAGGTGGCATCCAATAGACAGGTTTCATCGTCCTTTTTACAGGTGAGAAAATTCAATCACAGGATTCTAGACGTGGAGCTGGAAGAAACTGTAGAAGCCAGTTGGGCTAATCCTCTCATTTCACGAATGAGGACACTGAGGCAGAGGGATGGGAAATGACTTGGCTGAGGTGACGCAGCCAGTAAGTGGCTGAAGCTCCTTCTGATTCCAGACCTGTCACTTTTTCAACATCACTGACCTGGCAGCCAAGGGCAAAGCTGAGCAAGTGGGACCCCAAGTGGCAGAACTCAAGTGGTGCTGACTCAAATTACCTTGGCTGTCTGAGGCAGGGAACCCTGCCTTTTCACGTCTCTCTCCCACCAAGAGATGCCCGATGGCTGAGCTCATGAGCCTGCTGCATTCCACACTCCCAGGGCCCCTTGCACCTATCCTATCGTAAATCTGTTCTCAACAACCTGGGGCCAGAGTGTTATACAACTTGGGGGAACCCAAACATCCCTGGAGATATGCTTTTTTCCATGGGCGTCACCCAGATCTGGGTTGTCTAGAAGATAAGCAGCCCAATTAGTGTCTCCACAAAAGTGCCTAAGCTTCCTCCCTCACCAGCCTACATGTGCATGACATGCCTTTATGGAAAGCCCTGGTTATACAGGACAACATGTGGGGAGATTAAAGAAACAGACTAATTGCCTTGCAATAATCTAAGGCATTGGGGAGCAATGGAAAGAGGGCAGTGTTAAAAGGCAGAGGGCCTGGGTTTCAAAGCCTGGCTCTGAAACTATCTTGTGACCCTAGACAAACCATTTCACTGCTAAGCCTCAGTTTCCCAAACTCCCCCAAATGAGGGATTTGATGAGATGACCCCTAAGCCACCTACCAGCTCTAAAGTGATGATCCTACATTCCCCACTGGGATTTCCTCCTAGGGCTAATTGCACTGGGAGAGCATTAAGTATCTCTGCTCTCCCAGCTCTTCTCCTGTGAACCTGTTGGGCTGCTTCCTTTTTCTCTGCCAAATCATCCATCCCCCCACCCCACTGAGCTGGACACCCCAAAGGCTCTAGGGGTCCCTCTCCTCTCTACACTCTCTCAGTCTCCCCTGGTGATCTCACTTATTCCCATGAGTTCAACTATCATCTCAAAGTGGCAATTCCCAAGTCTATCAGCTCATCTGTAACCTCCTTCCTGAACCTTAACCTCATCCCTGCCTCTTAAACCTCACCTAACCCTCCCCCATTGGCATATCAAACTCAACATGATCAACATAAATCTCATCATTTCCCCTATAAAATCCTGCTTGGCCTCAAACTTCCTTTCTCCCTTTGAGTGCACCATCATTCTACTGGTCAACAAAATCTGTAACCTTGGAGTCATCCTATACTCTCCCTCTTTTTTATCCTCTACAACCAATCACACTCATAATGATCAATAACATTTATGTATTTTTACTGTGTGCCAGGCACTGTGCTGAGCATTTACAAGTATCATCTCATTTGATCCTCACAACAACCCTGGGGGGGGGGAGGTGCTATTCTTATCCCCATTTTGCAGAAAAGGAAACTGAGGTTAAGTGACTTGCTCAGGGTCACAAAGCCAGTAAATGTTGGAGGCAGAATTTGAACTC